GCCTTTTTCTGCAAAAGCATATGCAAATGAGGCTAAGCAAGCCACATAATGTGGAATATTGCTGAGCCTTATTTGCATACATGATGAGCGCCTGTCTTCAGGAAGAATGGCTCTTGCGCAAGAAGGAGGTTTTGCGCCAAAATGAGCCGTCTACACATCTCTTTTTTGCACAAAAGCCTCTTGTGCAAAAATGGGTGCTCATTACTTATGCAAATGAGGCTTGGCGATATTCCATGCTTAGCCTCATTTGCATATGCTTTTGCAACAAAAGGCTACAATGTAGATGTAGCCTCAGTGTGATTCTTCAGCTGATCTGTAAATGAGGAAAGAGTCATTTCTCTTATGTTATTCTCAAGTTTTTTGTATTTCCTTGTAACAGGTTTTCATAGCATCATAGAATCATAGGACTGGAAGGGACCTCGAGAGGTCATCGAGTCCAGCCCCCCGCCCTCAAGGCAGGACCAAGCTCCCTAGTGTAGACCAGGACTCAAGTAAAAACAACAGGTGGATCTGTCACGTGAGCGGTGAGTTCTTCATGCACCATTTTAATTGCTCCAGCCAGGATACAGTCTCCCCACCTCCATTCCTGCACTGCTGCCTCTCGAAGACTACGTCTAGACTGGCCCCTTCTCCGGATTTCCCCTCCCCCGCGGATTTCCCTATTCTGACTTGCCTGCTTTGCATGCCTCTTCCGGAGAAAGGGCCAGTCTAGATGTAGCCGAACAGTGTACAGAGTGATACAGAGAGATAAAGGGGCAGGAGGGACTGTTCCATCTGCATTGACAGAGATAAAGCCAGTTTTCTTTTCATTCACCACAGAAAGAGAAAAAGACAGGTGAGGGCTGTGACAGAAGAAACATGTCCCCTTCCCCTCAGATTCTGGCTACAGCTGGAACCTTGCTTTACGAGATGTCTTATCCAATGAATTATTTTAGAACCACCACTGTAGCAATGTTTACTCCCAAGTCTTAGATGCTTATCGCTGTGTTCTTACGTTTGCTTTTTCAGATTTCATTTGGGTTTTTCAGAATATATTTTACCATATATAAAGGGCAAATAGATACGTTCAGTCCGAATGCCATTTTCTAAATCTCAGATTAAGGGAAATACAAACAAGGAAGGCTAAAAAGGAAAACCTCCACAAAACAGCACAGCATGTGTTTCCTCATTAACATGTGTGTTTATTCTGCTTCACAAAATAGAAAGCCTCAGAAAGACTCTTTAAAACATTTAAAGGTGTAGTACACAGAAAAATGTCCGTGACATAACTGCGTACCAACAATTTTCCTGTTGCAAGATCCTATGATAAGGTTCCTATGTAGATTTTTTATAAACAGCCAGTGACATTGATGCCAATGGACACTTCAGCTTGATGGCGCAGGAGAACATGGTGGAGAGTCAAGGTATTTCACAGTCGACTACCCACCTAACAGATAGAACATGGCTTCCTGTTCACCTCCAGCAAACACCTGTATTATAGTTCAGTCTGCATAACCCTTCAAGCTGGAATTTCTCTTTAGCTGTTGTGCTGTATTGTATAGGACAGGCAGGTCTCCACTGAAAACCTGAAGATCTCTTCTTATTTCACAGAGGCCAACAAACATTGCTGACTGTTGCTCTGGGGTGCATTTGCAGAGGCAACTAAAGATGAAAGATCCTATGGGTGAAATTTGCAAAAGCATTTAGCCCAATGGCCAGATTTACAGAGTCCCTAAAGATACAGAGAGGCATCAAATGGGATTTTCACAAGTGCTTGAAACAAGGCACCTGACTCCCACTGACTTGAAAAAGTCACTCAGAGCATTTTTAGGTGCCTAAATACGTTTGTAATCTGGCCCTAGTTCTCATTTTCCAAAGTGACTCAGCCCACTCCAGAACCCCACCTGGCTGTCCTATACAGCCCGATGGCTACAAAGAGACTCCAGGTAATCATTCACATATTGGTGTGGTGTCTTTAAGAGTTGTCTGTCAAATCTGACAGTCAGCCAAGGGTAATAACATTTCTTCTGAGTAGGAAGGTCTGTAGATGCCAGGTGAGCTGACAGACTCACTGGGCCGCTCTATGGGCAAGAGAGGGGAGTCCCAGCTCTGTGCTCCTGGAAGGGGTGGGTCTCGGGAGGAGGGGGTGGGGCTAGGGCAGCCGGCCCTCAGTGCCACTCATGCCCCATCCCTCAGTGCTGACAGCGGCTCTGGCAGTGATTTAAAGGGCTCAGGTTCAGGCTACATCTATACAATGAGTTTTCTCGGCAAAAAATATGTTGCAATGAGTTACAATCTCATATTTTCTGCCGATCTGTTTTTGTACTGGGGTTTTTGTGCAAAAACAAGCAGTGTGGACATTTTCTTTTTGCGTGAAACCCCCTTTTTCCGCGACATCCTTATGCACCAGAAAAGGAGGTTTGCCATCCTAACCACCCTAGACGTAGATGCCCTTTACACCAAAATTCTACATGAAGACGGATTACAGGCCATCAGGAACACCATCCCCGATAACAGCACCGCACATCTGATTCCAGAGCTCTGCGACTTTGTCCTCAATCACAACTACTTCCAATTCAGAGACAATTTGTATCTCCTAGTCAGCAGCACGGCGATGGGCACTCACCTGGCACCGTAATATGCCAACATCTTTATGGCTGACCTTGAACAATGTTTCCTCAGTTCTCACTCCCTAACACCCCTACTTTACTTACACTACATCGATGATATCTTCATCATATGGACCCATGGAAAAGAGACTCTTGAAGAATTTCACATGGATTTCAACAACTTCCATGCCACCATCAACCTCAGCCTGGACCAGTCCTTATGCAAAATCCACTTTCTGGACACTACAGTACAGTTAAATAATGGACAAATTTCCACCACCCTATATCGGAAACCCACCAACCGCTACACTTACCTTCATGCATCCAGCTTCCATCCCAGGGTATGTCTAGACTACATGCTTCTGCAGACCGAGGCATGTAAATTAGACATACCGACATAGTCAAGAAGCAGGGATTTAAATATCCCAGGCTTTATTTGCATGTTCCCGGGTGCTGCCATTTTTAAATTCCCCGTAGTTCGAACTACCTGCCCGCGGCTATGTGCGGCACGGACTAGGTAGTTCGAATTAAAGCTCCTAATTCGAACTACTGTTACTCCTCATTGTAAGAGGAGTAACGGTAGTTTGAATTAGGAGCTTTAATTCAAACTACCTAGTCCATGCCACGTGTAGCCACGGGCAGGTAGTTCGAACTACAGGGAATTTAAAAATGGCGGCTCCCGGGAACATGCAAATGAAGCCTGGGATATTTAAATCCCGGGCTTCATTTGCAAGTTCGAATGCCTACATTAGCCACCCTAGTTTGAACTAGGGTGGCAGTGTAGACATACCCTAAGATACAATTGGATTTGCTCCGATCCCACAGACAGAGACAATCACCTACTGGATCTTTATAGAGCATTCCTAAAACTGAAATACCCACCTGGAGAAGTGAAAAAACAGATTGACAGAGCTGAAAAAGTACCAAGACATGAACTACTTCATGAGAGACCCAAAAGAGAAAATAACAGAACTCCACTTGTTATTATCTATATTCCACAACTCAGACCCCTCCAGCGCATTATACACAATCTACAACCCGTCTTGGAAAATGATCCCTCACTCTCAGAGGCCTTGGGAGAAAGCCTATTCTTGCTTACAGAACCCCTCCCTCCCAACCTGAAACAAATTCTTTCCGGTAACCATGCCACACAACCACATCATAAGCATCCAGGAACCCAGCCCTGCAACCAAACACAATGCCAACTCTGCCCACATATCTATACTAGCAAATTCATCACTGGAGCCAACAACATAAGCTACCAAATCAAAAGGTCATTTGACTTCACATCCAATAAATTGATCTATGCCATCAAATAGTAGCAATGCTCCACTGTTATATATATTGGACAAACTGGACAGTCTCTGCGGGAAAGAATCAATGGACACAAATCAGATATACATAAAGGGAACATACAGAATCCTATTGGGGAACACTTTAATCTTCCTTATCACTGTTTAAAAGATCTTCAAGTGACTGTCTTGTCACAAACCAATTCTACTAGCCAGATATACAGAGAAGCACTGGAATTAGAATTCATCCGCAAATTCAATTCTCATGCTAATGGACTCAATCATGGTGAAAGATGGTTGGGACACCATCAACCTAACATTCAATGAAGGTGCAAACAGCTCTTTGTGTAGATTCCTATTAGGAAGGATACTATCTGTTGACATTGATTCTTATCTGCTTTGTTCTAACTACCCAATCTTCAGATACATAAACAAAATACAGGATTATGTAACACTTTAAAGACTTTAAAGTCCTTAAAGTGCTACATAGTCCTGTATTTTGTTTCAGCTACACCAGACTAACACGGCTACATTTCTATCACTATTCAGATACTTACTGACTCTCAGCTCTACCTTCCTGTTTTTCCCTTTGATTTTCCATATCCTCTGCTCTCTGTCTCTGAACCCCCTTCTTTTTTTCCTCCCCCCCTTCTCTCCTATTTATTTTGGGTCTGCACATCCTATAATCAAAACTCTGGTCATCTGAAGAAGTGGGCTGTGACCACAAAAGCTCATGATACCATCTACATGTTTTGTTAGTCTATAAAGTGCTACCAGACCGTTTGTTGTGTTTTCCTGTACAGACTAACTTGGCTACCTCCTGAAGCTTTGGGTATATGAGTTGGGTGAACTCAGTACTGTTTTGCAAAGTCCCAACGTTATGTGCGGTGCAGTACGCTCACTAGACAAATGAACCTTTTGTCTGTAAGAGAGGCTGGGATATAAAGCTTTATTTCCAAAGGAAGAGTTCTGAAAAACAAAATCCCCAGGGCAATGTACCATTATTAAATGGCAGAGAGATTCTGAACAAGCGGCAGATTGGAGACTGGCATCATCTAGAGCAGGGGTCTCAAACCCCGAGCCCGCAGCATAGACCTGGCCAGAGCAATTGTGCAATCTAGCCTGGGACTCCCATCAGACTGCGGGGAGGGGGCTTGTCCGTTACCAGCTACCTAGCCCCCTATTTGCAATGACTGGCGCAGCTCTGCTGCAAAGGATTCTGGATCTGCGTGATGGGCAGAAACTCATCCTTGTTCAGAGGGCCCCTGCAGGATTTATGCATCATTTAAGTTCCATGCAAGCCCCAGAGGTAGAAGTGAAGGCTTGTGTTGTTGCGCTGGATCTCTGCAGAAGGACGGATTTCATCCATTCCACAAATTCAAATTATTCAGTTGCATTTACATCCCCTAAGGAAGCCTTTAGCTATTTTGCTTGGAGAAGTAGCCTGGAACAACAAAGCCAGTGTAAATTGATATGTCAACTGTTGCAGTTAAAAAATTGGCTGCTCATTTCTCTGTAAAGATCACAGATTATTTGTGGTCACTCCCATAGCCATATTGCCATATACAGCAGGCACTTGGGCGCTAAAGAAACAGTCCTTGTGGGCTGATCCCAGACCAACTTGCAGAAACAGAGACAGTTCTGTTCAGGGTATCACTTAGTTCATTCAATGTATTTTAGATGTGTATATTGCCTCCATCACTGTGCCATTTGCTGTAAAGATCACAGATTATTTGTGGTCACTCCCATAGCCATATTGCCATATACAGCAGGCACTTGGGCGCTAAAGAAACAGTCCTTGTGGGCTGATCCCAGACCAACTTGCAGAAACAGAGACAGTTCTGTTCAGGGTATCACTTAGTTCATTCAATGTATTTTAGATGTGTATATTGCCTCCATCACTGTGCCATTTGGTTGCTGCATCTATCCTCACTGAATCTCTGCTTTTTTATTGATGAGTAATAAGGCACAGAGAGGCTATAAAAGTGACTTTTATGGACAGTCTATGGGAAGGTAGAGTCATACATGTCAGGCTCTGGCCAGCATCCCAGCCACTGGACCATGCATCCTTCACTTTCAGCCAGATCCTCTGCTGAGCTGCTACCCGGCCTCTGATGACCAATAGAAGCAACTCAGAAGTACAATATGAGTTAGCCTTAACAACAAACAATTACTTTAAATAACTAGATTGGGAGCCAACATACTGCTTCTTTGGGTGTGTCTAGACTACAGGGTTTTGTCGACAAAAGTGGACTTTTGCTGACAAAACTATACTTGCGTCTACACTCCCACTTAGTTCTGTCAACATAACGTTGACAGAACTCAGCAGTTTTGTCGACGGCCGTAAACCTTATTCTACGAGGAATAACGCCTTTTGTTGACAGAATTCTGTCGACAGAAGGCATTATTGCATCTACACTGTCCTTTGCATCTACACTGTCATGTCGACAAAGCGGCTTGCTCTTTGTTGACAGAAGCTTTGTCAACAATATCTGTCGACAAAACTTCTGTCGACAAAAGTCTGTAGTCTAGACGTACCCTTTGTGGCTACGACTCCAATTGAGTTTTGTGGAAGATACAAGGGCAGAAATCAGTCCTAAAATTACAAATACACCAACCTCCAGGTTGGTACGGAACAGAGTGAGTAGGAAAATGCATAGACCTGTCACTTTCTCTCACTCATAAATAACAACAGAAGGGGAGAATGCACCTGAAAATCTGCACAGCTTTGTACAGCAGGCAACTCTGCCGAATCTTCCTCCTGATGCTGGAGGCCAGTGCACTGCAGAATAGGCAGGTCTCCAAAAACTTGAGTTGGACCTAGATCTAGAGAAAAATTCACCAGGCGCCTGTCTCATTGCTAATATAGAGATCAGTGCTTCTGTGCTTCCTTAAGGGCTTGTCTTCACTACGGAGAAAATCAACGCTGGCACAGTCGATCTTCCAGGGTTTGAATTAGTGGCTCTAGAGAGGACATGCTAATTTGAACTGAGAAGGCTTAAGTTGACTTTCCCCTTAGAGAAGACCAGGCCTAAGTGACTGCCTTGGCTTAATGGCGATGCTCCTATTGGCTGTCCCACAACTGCCAATAGTCACTGACTCATCTGGTGGCATCGGAGTGCTCCCATGTTGTTGAATCACAGGTTATTGGCATAGAACATGCTCTGAAGAGAAGCTGCACCTTGGCTATGTGTTTCTTCAGCAGGCTGTATTACAAATGACATCTGTCATCAGCATGGGTTGAACCTGAGACTGTCAGTGCCAAAAAGACCAGCCTTACCTACTCAAGCTACAAAAAGGACCTCGGTAGGCTGGTGGCAGTAGCAAGTTATTATTGCCTCTGTGCGTGAGTTACTGCTGGGAGGCATTGTAAGATGTACTCCACGTAGCCAATATGAGACGTATCCCCCAGCCAGGGAGATTGATACGCCTGCAGTTTGCATGGAGGGAATGTGTCAGCAGCAGCCATTATTTGACCCAGAAATGACTGGAATGATTAAAACCTTTCTTAAAATGTGTATTGATCATTATGTTTCTTCCAATTATCTTCTTAATTCCCAGGCTTGTTCCTTATAAAAATAATATCAATACTGGCTGTGGATATTTCTGTCAAGGTTTCCACAGCCCAAGAACAAAGACACAGACCTAATACTTTACCTATTCTGAGGTAGCTCTGTCTCTCATTTTTTTTCTTTTCAATTTAATTTATTCTTCCCAATTTTTGTGCCTTCCAAATTTAACTTGACATAGTCTCTTGTTAAAATGGCAGGAGTCTTAGGGTATGTCTAGACTACATTCCTCTGCTGACAGAGGCATGTAAAATAGGCTACCCGACATAGTCAATGGAGCGGGGATTTAAATATCCCCGGCTTCATTAAAATAAAAATGGCCACCGCGCTGTGCTGGCTCAGCTGATGGTCAGCACAGCGTGCGAGTCAATATGCGGATCAGTCGACAAGGGAAGCCTTTTTTGACTGCTTCTGTAAACCTCATTTCATGAGGCATAAGAGATCGGTCAGCAAAGGCTTCCCCTGTCGACCGATCCGCATCTTGACTCGCACGCTGTGCTGACCATCAGCTGAGCCAGCACAGCGCGGTGGCCATTTTTATTTTAATGAAGCCGGGGATATTTAAATCCCCACTTCATTGACTATGTCGGGTAGCCTGTTCTACATGCCTCTGTTGGCAGAGGCATATAGTCTAGACATACCCTTATAATGCAACAAAGATATTTCTATAACACTAATTCCTAGGGTAGCTAGCGCTTTGTTCCCTGCCTTCCAAACTGTTGCAGCAGCTGCCCCTCAGCAAACATTTTGGCTCTGTGCTGCTTGCTATTAGTCTAAAGTTGAGCAGATAGACCAGTGAAGGATTCAAGAAGTAGAGGATGATAGATGAGCTGTAGCAACTTACAAGGACATAACTCCATCTCAGTGTTTGAAATACATAATACAGCTCTTGAGTGATCATGCTGTATCTTCAGTCCATCACTCTCTCCACACAGCCTAGAAAAAAATAAAGTAGTAGAAGATTTACTCAGCAATGGTCCTTCAGGTCAGGGAGCTGGGGATGTGGGGGGTGCAGGAGGAGTTTTTGAACAAACAGACTCATAGATGGATAGACAGACACACAAACTCTCTCAAATATATATATAGATACACATCACATTTTGTGGATTTACAAAAGGTGTCAACGAAGGCCCCAGGTATTGTCATATTCACATTGTATATGGACTAGCAATGCTCTTGTGCAAGAAGAAAGTTTACCAGTCAAATTGTGGTAGACTTTAACATATTTCCGTTCACTTCTCACTCACCAGTATAAAGTTGGCACCAAATGGATGATGTGAACCACACCAGGGCAAAAAATGGACACATTACACTCTGCTGACAAGAAATGATAAATTCCCCTAGCTGTGCGACATTATCTGATAAAAAATGACCATATAGATCATTGTTGCAACCACTACTACATATTTGCAAACCTATATAAAGTTTGTTAAGTAAGGTGTCTGTGGAAAGATTAAGATTTGCCGAATATGATTTTGCTAGTTGTATGTATGTATAATTTTTGTATTTGAAGTAATTAACATTAGCTATGTGCCCCTGTTTCAAATGATTGGCACTTTTGCTATGGCCCCAGGAGGTACTTAGACAGCACAAACTGAATGGCCCATCAAGAAATATTTAATTGACAATGGACCGTGGGAGACACCCACCTACACTGAATGAACTGTCCTGCAAACATTCCGTCTGAAGTATAGGTAATGGTTCCTACAATTACTAGGCAAAATGAATGGACATGTGACTTGACCATGAGACTCCAGCCATCCTCGTGCTACTGTACTTTTCCAAAGTCAGAACAATGGGATTCCCTCCAAATGGCAGAAGCTACAAAAGGCCCTGGAAATGTCTCCATTTTGACTCTTTCCTGCTCCAGCCTTTGAACCATAAACGTATATTGATGGGAGCATTCTAACAAAGGGACTGAGGACCTTTCAGTGCTTTGGAAGTAACTAGAGACTTAACTTACACCTAGGATTGCCAGATGGTTTCAACAAAAATACCGGACGCACTTGATATTACATCACAATCTACATGACATCTTATTTAGAAAATACAGGCCATTTATATTTTCTCAATTTGTTTCCCGAACAGAAAGCTCAAGTACTGGACTGTCCGGTTCAAAATGGTCTTTCTTTCTTTCTTTCTTTCTTTCTTTCTTTCTTTCTTTCTTTCTTTCTTTCTTTCTTTCTTTCTTTCTTTCTTTCTTTCTCTCTCTCTCTCTCTTTAGAGTAAAAAGTAAGTTATATATTGTTCTGGGTTCACTTCATTTTCTTTATCTTAAAAATGTTAATTGGAATTCCCTGGAACAGGTCCAGCCAACTAGCTTCCATTGGCAGTGGGTTCAAGCTGTATTTCCAGTGCCTAGACATAGGAACAGATTAACCACAGTCCCTGAAATCAAATCACAAGGAATAAAAAGGAAGGGGGAAAAAAAGAGCAAAGAACTGAACAGGACTGATAAGAACTGAAAACAAATCAATCCCACCCCTATGAATTTCTGAAGCATTTTAGCTTCACAGTTGCAATAGGCTTTCATGGAAGTGGGGAAGCTATAAGCCTCAAGCAACAGCTTGAGAATATACCCATGACTGGGTTAGAGTCAGGGAACAGTATGGGGGCAAGAGAGGATTCTGGCCTGGGGGAGGGGTGCATGATCTACCTTTTGTATAGCCATGTTGTATTTTATTTCTCATTACTATTGTCTTTGACTACTTTGTCTTTCAAAATTGTTCCAGGACTTTGCATACAATTGGGAGCAAAATATTAGGCCTATAATTTCCAGGATCACTATTTCCCTTTTCTTAAAAATATGTACTATATTACCAATTTTTCAGTCATAAGGAACAACCTCTGAGTTTAGGGAGTCATTAAACATCCTTGATAGTGGGTTTGAAATTGCATGTGCCAGTTCTTTAGTATTCTTGGATGGAAATTATCTGGGGTCCCCAATTTCTGTATCACCTCTTCCCTTATGGATCCCAAAACATTCTTAAATATCTTTCTGATACTTTGTATTTGGCACCATGACAACATTCTTAAACTCAGATGCTTATGGTTGGTAGGAAGCTCTCTTTGTAAGAGATACAAACACAGCTTAAGAGCTGATATAATTTCTTATCCCATATTTTTGACGGTCTGCTGTGTTGGACCAACTGAATAGGATTAACTGTGCTGCTGGGCTTACAAACTTTCCCATCACTATTGCCTGTAGAAGCTTGATGTGTAGACTGGTGTGTGCATTTCTAATAAAGTTCCCTATTTTATTTCTGGTTTTAATTATTTTGCACAGCACATGCAGTGCAATCCTGCCCCCACTCAAGTCAATGGCAAACCTCCCATTTATTTAAATGGAGCCAGAATTTAATATGTGCTATCCCATTAAGCTGTCATCATAGACTTGATACCGCTATGCAGTCTGGGGAAAAGAGCATATTTGGATATGATTTTGTTCATCATGAGTTCCTTCGAGATGACCCCTAGTGTTTTCTCTGTCTTGCTGCTGCCAGTATTAGCATACTCTAAATCCTGCCAGTACCTTCTGCCACAATTTATGTCACGTTTACAACGGAATAAGTTATTTGGACGGGGGCTATATAGTTGAGTGTGTTACGGTAGTGCTAGGAGATCCCATCCCAGTCTGGCATGTCACACTGTTAGGTACTCTGCAAGCACAGGAGAACCAGTTCCTATAAAAGAGTTTCTAATCTAAACAGAAATCTCAGACTGAGAGTACGTTTAGACTACAGGCTTTTGTCGACGTACTGTCGACAAAGCTTCTGTTGACAAAAAGCGTCTAGACTACAGCCAGTGAAAAAAAAAATCCCATGTGAAAATCAGTAACAATATTAAGCAACTCAACAATGTCTACAAAGAGAATAAAAGAACCCCTGCTCTGATATCTCTGTGAAGGACAACATTTTAAGGGAAGTTCTGATGCTTGTTAAAGTTACAGAGTCCTGTCAGGATTCCAATTTACAGAAGTACAGTGATAAAAATCTTACAGTAGAGTTACAGCTAAACCGTTGAGTTTTAATGACTACGTTCTTCAGAGGAGAGAGCTGGAAAAAAAATCCCCTTTACTATCATATACATTTAACAGTGATTACGAGATGAGAAATGTTGACATAAGTGAGGATGCATAAAAGCAAGCATTCGTTTTGTATTTTGGAAGTTTCTATTATTTTATACTGCATCCCTGTCGTGTCTTGACTGATGGGATTTATCAAAGGACAACCAAACACTTGCATTGTCCCACCATTTGCAAAACCTGTTTGGAATGATGGATTGCTGTGACTTTCCTGGGCTCATTTGAGCTGACTTCAGCTTCGACATCGATCCTAATGGCTGCTTTCACGAGCCTCTTAAAGTAAATCCCCCTCTGATGTAGTGTTTTGAAATCGTTCATTGGTGTCTTCTGTTATGTTATAGAGATAGCAGGCAGACAGCTGGTACTTATATGCTGCTTTATGTCTATCCTTGAGTCAGGTGCATCTTAGAACATCCTCAGAGCTGCTTTTCATTGCACCAAGCTGCAGTGGCCTCCAAAGCGCTGGTCTGGCATCAGAGATCACTGAAGTACAGCTGTACTTTGACATTCCCTTTCTCTGGTCATATCCCTGACATACTCCCTGTATTAGGGATTAGAACAGGGCTACTCAACTTTGGAAGCCCCAGGGCTTCCATAGTCACAGCACATGCCGATGGTTGCAACTTTTGTGGTTGCACGTACAGCAAATATATATGCAAATAATTTCTTTCAGACTGACGGATATGAATACGAAGATTAAGGCAAGACTACACAACACTCAGGCCCCTCCAAGTCAGTTCTGCTGATATTAATAAAATGCAATATTTACTCCATTTCCACCCATTTGACAGCACTTCTAATGAGCAATGACAGTCCAGGAATTTAACTACTAAAACACATATCAACAGAAGACCATTATATTGACCAATATGGAGTGTGTTTCCAGTGGAGGCCATGTTCAAAGGATCCCACCTGTGGGCCATGTGTTCAACCCTGACTGCAACCAAACCTCACCGAGGGCTGCAAACAAACAGGCCACGGGCCGCATGTGGCCCACAGGCCACATTTTGAGTAGCTCTGGGTTAGAAAGTAGTTGATGTAGGCCTGCCTATATACTGCCTGAGGTTTCCTGTCCATGGGTATGTCTAGACTACATGGCTCTGTCGACGGAGCCATGTAAACTAGTTTACCCGACATAGTCAATGAAGCGGGGATTTAAATAATTCCCGTTTCATTAAAATAAAAATAGCCACCGTGCTGTGCCGGCAATCAGTTGAACCGGCACAGCGCGGCACCCTAGACACAGATTGGTCGACAAGGGAAGCCTTTGTCGACTGCTCCCTTATGCCTCGTGAAACGTCGATGGAGCCATGTAGTCTAGACATACCCCATTAGCAGAATCCCTAGCGAGCTGGTTACACTGTCTTGTCTGGTTGCTTGGCTCTACCAGAGGAGTACACAGCAGCCATGGGGCAGAGAGAGTGCAATATTTTCCTCTTTGTTTACTTTGGAAACAGTTCTGATTTGGGTTTTTTTTAAGCATGTTGAAAACAAGAACTATTCTTGCTGTTGTGCATTTTTATACAACAGCTTCATGCTGACTTACTCCAATATGAGATTTTGACAGATCCTCCTTGTTAGGCTGAGCTACCTAGTACTTGCTGATTGATACAGCCCAGTCCAGTATCCTATCTTCTCTTTTGATCTATTTTTTTCACAGCCCACTTGTTTACTACATTACCTAGGCACTGAGTCTTTATGCCTACAAGATAAGCAATTTTCAGATCTGGGCAGGCATACATGACATTTTAACAAGCGTTAATCAAAGGCAATGCAATATGATTTTGTACCCTAATTAAACATAGTTTTACACTAATAGCTATTTTACAGCTTCTTCACTTGCTACAGAGCT